TGTTTTCTGTAATATATTTGATTTTGTTTTAGTGAAGATTGAGATTTAGTTTTCTATAGTATTTGAATTTGATTTGGTAATTGATTCGTAATATTATCGCTGAAAAAGATTTGGTTTTTTTAGTGAATTTTTAGACACTTTTTGATGAAAAATGCATAAAATAAATTAAATATTATTATTAAAAATTGCCTAAAATAGAAAAACAAAATTAATATTTAAATAATAAAAAAAATGATTTTTGGGAAGATTTGAATGTAACTTGAAAATAAAATTAACAACAATAGAATAAAATAAATCATCAATCCAAATAATTAAAACCCAAAAAGATTTCAAATTTTTGGATTTATAATTGTTGTAACCAATTACATTGATTCTCTCCTAAAATAAATATTTCTACCTAAAATACAAAAGATAACAAAATATTTTTAAATCTTTTTTGTATTTTAGATTTTTTTGGTTATTTTTAGAATAAAAGGTGAAAAATACTATTTTTTTAAAATTCATTAATTGAAAATACGAAATTTAAAAAATCATTTTTTTAATGATTTTTACAAATGTAAATAAAATTAGTAACAATAAACAAAGAAATATAAAAAATGTACCAAATGAGATTTGAATTCGTGACCTTATGCTTTCAAGTTATGTTTCCTTACCAATTGTGCTACGTTATTTGTTTGAAATAAGAAACCAATTGAAAGTATATGAAGGCAAACAATTATTTGCTATTTTAAAAATACAAATAATTATTATATTTTTACACAGACTTGAAAGCGAATATTTATTAAAAACCCCAAAATATTAATGCAATTAAATCAAAGGAATTTTACCCTGTAAAACCCAAGTTCGAAAATTACTTTGACGTTAGCACTAAGGCGGACAAATTTGGGGTATGAGACATGGGCTTCGAAATCTCCACCCAAATATATCTTGATCCACAAGTTGAGGGCTGCACAATTTATGCAGAAAAATCTCCTTAAATCTTGGAACAAACCACAAAGTTTCCTAAATTGTCTCATCATCCAATTTTAGCAACGTGTCTACAATTGGAGATTAGATCACTTGTTCCAGATTAAATCTTCCTGACTTGCAAAATTTATTGAGATATATGCAAAAGAAATATCACAAAATCAAATCAAATATGTCATATGTAACCCAATTTGTACTACTGTTCTGGTACAACATGTCACAACATCTGACAAAATATTTGTCTTTAGTGTAACCTTCACACTTTATTGTAATAGTCAGATCAAGATTTTATGACATCTTGCTCAACATCTGTCATGAATCATGTTTTAGAAAAATTATTGTCAATCCTAAAACCAATGATCTTACAATCTCCCCATTTCGCAAATTTTGGCTGAAAGAACCTTTTATACAATAAACTTGGAGAGAGAAATAAAACTACAAACAGAAACACAAGTTAAACTTTGTACATGAGGAAGAAGATACCATGTTGTTTTAGAACTATCCAAGTTACTCCCTCTATCACACAAAACCAATTATTTTTCTAGAGAACCAAATCTCCCCTCAAAGGAAAAATTCAAATAACCAGCAGAAAAAGAAACTTTTCTCAAAAATTGTACATTAGAAGAACATATAGCAGAAGCAACACACATAACTCAGAACACCAAAATCCTAGACTACCATAAACCTAATCACAAGACACAACAGTCAGGATGTTAGAATATTTGGTAGAACATCATGTACACAAACAACCAACAACAACAACAACAACAATAGTAGCAGCAGACCCGCATGATATACAATCATGCCCCCCCAAATAAATTACATGTAGTAAGCAACAATGCTAGACTAGACTCGCTGACACTTTTCCCCATTTTTAGTCAAAAATTGACAAAATCAGAGTGAAAAGAAATTGAAACATAAAGAACTAAAAAGCCACAAAACTGAGGCAAGACAAACTAAATAAGATTGACTCAACAACAGAAAGAAAAAAAATAAACTCACCCAAATAGCAAAGTACTAATCCCGCCCAAAGTAATAAAAACCAAGATTCGCCCGAAGAGACAAAAACTGAGACTTACCCAAAGAGACAAAAACTAGTAAAACAAAGGAAAATGAAAACAAAAAGTTAAAAAAACTAAAAATAAAAACTTTTTTTTGTTTTTTTTAATAAAAGATAGTAGACAACAACTAACCAAACCTCCCTCCTGAGTCAATGAAATTGGCATAATATGAATCAACATCTGAATCTAAATCATGTATTTTCACATGGCTTTTCTTGAGGGAATTTGTAACATCCTCTAAACCCCGTAGAAATAATACGGCATAATCGGAGTAAATTAGCATGCATATCAAAAGAGGGTGTCACATGTATATAAAATCCAACATAAATACACCGGTCATGTTCATAACACGCATTTAAAATCATGTTCCATACACTAAGACATATGCATATCGCAGCGGAATAATTCTTTTTTATAATAATAGTAATAATTGAAATCCCATAATGACAATTATATAATAAAATTTTAGCCACTAAAGGCCACTCATCACATAATCTCAAAATTATAATACTAAATAAAGAAGAGTATATCAAACATCTCATAAAACAACATGAGTTCAAATGTTCTCCGTGTTACATAGATCAGAGCATGACTCACTACCTAACAAGCAGGTAAACAAGGAACTATCTTCTCTGACTATTACTCGCAAGAAGCAGCACTATCTTCGGTACCCGAGCGATATCGTAGAAACATCATTTCAGTAGAAGAGTGAGAATCTATATCATTATGAATATATAATAATAAATAATGCATAACATACATTCACCAATTGAATTCATCACACTTCATGCATTCATGTATTTTACATTTTCCATTCCAATTCACATATTTACATATACAATATTGCTCAACATTTCATGGTTTTAAAGAAAATCAATCACAAGTATTACAATTGTAACATTCACTCCAATATTACATAATGCACACCAATTAATTGTTTCAGATAGACACTTGTGACTCGAATACAACTCAATGCAATATGTATCTGGCATTAATTGTTATCCTTTATGATTTTTATGTTTAAACCATGTCAATCCCTCAGACAATAACTATCAAAAAGCGTATTCTCTAAACTTTCAAACCAATCCGCTTTGAAAATAATTGAATTCTATTAAGCATGGTTGCAATACATTGAAAATAAATTTAGAATAGAGGGTGTGATACATTAATAGGTATTTTAAGGTAGTATTATGCATGGTTTCAATTAATTTTCTTCATTAGATGTTTTTTCTATATCTTAGTGGAGTGTGCACAAGTTAATATAGATTGTGTACAAATTCTAGCACACAATGCTTTAATAATTTAGCTATGAACACCAATTTTCGCATTGGAATGGTTTTTGGTCTACTCGTTTTGGTTTTGGATGTATGGGTGTTGTGAATTTTTGCTTTAGCCTAAATTGTATGTCTCTTAATATTGATGATGTGTAGCTTTTTCTTTTGATTGAGGGTCCGCGGCTCTGCAGTTTTTATTTCTTTTAATCAATATTTTAAAAATCAAATTTGAGATTGAATCGATAAAACTTCCGATTTAAAGTTTAATTGATTTTATCGGTTAAATTTATGGTTGAATTATTTATTTAATAAAATGTTAATATGAAACAAAATTTTATAAATATGTTACACATAATCATATATTGACAACTTAATAAAATAAATATTTTAAAAATTTATTACAAATTTAATAAAACAATATCAATAATATATATAATAACACAACATAATTATATATTTCATTTTAACCTTTATTTAAGAATAATTTGAACAAATTAAACTAAATCAAATCAAAATTAAAATAATAGAACATTACTAAATAAAATAAAATTCAAATAATTAAAAATACCTAAATTAAAAAAGATAGAATACCAAAAATAAATAATATAATATTTTAAGTTTTGATATTGATATATTAAACTTTTTTTAAAAATTGCGAATTCGATATATTTTTTTGAACGAGGTGATTTTACCAAAACAACTTCATTATTTGATTCGATTTATTTTAGACGGTCCAATTCGATTTTTCCGATTTCAACCCAATAGCAATTTTTAAAAATTGATCCAATTAAATTTATCTCTGATTCTCAGTTCAATCGATTAAATCAGTCAATTCACACTGCTTTTTAAAACATTTGGGTTTAGCCTACTATGTTTTCTCGATTATAACTTTGTAACTATAGGCATCATCCCTTATGCCTTATTTTAATTGAAGTTTTTCCTTTTGCTCTTTCAAAAAAAAAATTAGTTTAGCTAGACATTTGACTTTCATGTAGTTTAGTGGACTTTTGGTCTTTTTAATGATTTTTGTTATCAAATATATAAAGAGCATTTGATTAATCTTATATTTTTTCCAAGAATTATTCCATTCAAATCAAACATGTTTTTTGTGGTATAAAAAAACCAAACATATTTTAAATTATTCTCAGAAATATTCAAAAAAGTATAGCAAGAGTTCAAATTGATAACCAAATACTTTTTAAAAATATTCTAAAGAATATAATTCCTATTATTTTATTTTTAAAAAATTTATTTCAGGAAATAATTTTTAGATCTATGAAACAAACGCATTCTTAGTTGTAGTGAATCGTATCAGAATATTTTTCTTTAGATTAATCTTATATGAATATATAAAATGTAAATCATTATAGTAAATCCAATAATAAATCATAAAATTATTGTAATTTTTATTTTATATATATTAACTAATTAATGTTTCCATTCCTGTAAAACTAACCCGTTTTATAAAGAAACTCAAAGATGGAATTCTGCAAAAGGTTGAATTCATTGTATTATCTATCTGTATGCCCACGGTATAGGAATAAATAAATAAAAATTGCAAAAAGGGTAAAACAATCAAAGTAAAATTTGTTTACCATAATTCTTTTCTCTATTATTTTTTCTTTAAATATTTTTGTTTCATATATATATATATATGTATGTGTGTGTGTTATATAGATAAACAAGTTAGTCCTGTGCAATGGCTTCTTATGTCTATCAAACTCGTTTTTTCTGGATTTTGTGTTTTGCTATAGTTTTGCTTTCGGGTAATTAATATAAACTAGTTATATTTATTTCTTTGTATATATTAATTTATCATGAGGATTGAAATTGTTAAATTTTTAATTTTTATGAACAGCATATGAATCTAAGATGAATAATATTTTATTTTGGCAAAGCATATTGCATTTTTAATTTAATTTTTGTTGTAGGTTTGGCAACTTGTTTGGGTCCTGTGGGTCCTCCAGGACTAATGTGCTCTGGGAAATGCATTGATGGACCAACATGCAATAAATCTTGCATTGACAGAGGCTTTCAGAATGGTGGTGCATGTGTAGGCTTTACTTTTCAAGCTATGAGTTGTTGTTGTAAAAAATAAAAACCCTTGAACTTCATCTATGTAAGTTAATGAATGTAGTTTTTATGTTTTTGTTTTGAACCATCGTACTACGATAGAATAAAATTTGAATTAATATGTGATGTGTTTCCTATGTATGTTTTCATACTTTTATTTACGTGTAAGTGATTTAATAAGGAAAAGAAAAAGAAAAAAAAAAAAAGAGAAATTCTATGATAGAGTACAAAATATGTGATTTCAAAAAGCACAAGACATGCCTAATGAAAACACCTAAAATAATACTTAACAAGCTAGAAAAATAACAAAATAACTAAAAAGATAGTAAAAAAATAGCGGAAGAATTCAGACCAAAAATTCATCCACTAGAAGAAAATGCTAGATCTCAAACCATCTGAACCAGAGAAGATGCTTTTTTCTTTCACTACTTTCTTGTTTGTTAATGAACCAGAAAAGATAATATCGATACAAACCCTCCAAATAGTCCATGTGATTCTATGCGATAGGTTGATTATAAAGTTTTTATGGTTTTGATGACGACAAAAAGAGAAAAGCTAAGTTAATAAAAAACATCATCAGATATGAGCTATCAAAAAGCAAAGTTGATCAAATTTTAATATTGAGAGAAAATATATCAAGATAAATTTAAAGATCAACATCGAAAGAAATTGAAGATGTAAAAGCTTGCTTAATCCCTCACTTTATTATTTTTATCTATTTTGATCATATGTTATAAAATAAACAAAAGTAATTATTGAGTTATTAAGATAGTGTGTTTGCATGCGCGCGCACACACACCGAAAAGTATTTTCATATCTCCGCCTGTATTTCAAAATCTCTTAAAAAATTGTGTCTAGTCTTTACCTAGTCGATTTGAATTTGCATCTAATCGGTTAAAGAACGAGCTCACCTCCTAATCAATTACTAATCTTATTAATCGATTTAGGAGCGTGTCTGGGTTAAGCATTTCCTTTTTTGACAGGTCTTATAGATTACTACTGCAAGCTAATCAATTAGAGAGCGCGGCCAAAGTCACTAGATAGTTTTCTTTATGAGCCAAGTTTGTTTTTCTATATAAATGATATGTGTGCACTCCTCCATAGTTCAAATTTTTGATTTATTATTATCCTTTGTCACATAGTCTCTTACCAAAAGTTGAAAGAGTAAATACATATATTGAGAGTTGTGTAATTTTATTGTGGTGTTGAAATTTTAATTCAATTGAATAATTCTCTTGTATCTCGTAATTGGCTCGGAGGTTGCAAGATAAACTTGGTGTAAGGAAGGTTGTTGTGTTGATCCTAGTGTAAAATCTAAAGCTATTGTTAGAGAAAAATTGAAGGGGAAATTCTTGGGATTATGAGTAGGTCGTGAGGTTTAAGGGTGGACATGTATAAATTATTGCACGATCTTTCTATCTCTTTATTTTATTTTCTCATATTTTATTTTATGATGCTTAATCTATTCTTCTACTTATTTCTTAAAATCAATCAATCTAAAACTAATCATTTTGTAAAAACTTTTCAAAAACCAAATAACATAATTCACCTCAACTCCATTGTTTGAAGTGAATTGGTCAATAGTCCACGTAATCGCATGCCAGATCATAGTGAAACCACCCCTATTCTTGGTCATGCCACCTTGAGAGATAAATTCAAAAAGAATCGTGGATGGTCAGACCGTGGTGATAGACTCGAGCTTTTATAGGTTTGAACCTCAGCATCCTCAAAAATTATATTCTTTCAACATTAAGGTGCACCTTTTCTTTTTTATCTAATTTTAACAAAGAAAAAAAACATCACAACGATTTTTATGTCCAACCGTTGTGATATATTTTTTCTTTGAAAGCTATAGCACTACAGCTTGTCTTGTCAACTATGAGGAAAAGTGATATTTTTTTATATATATAAATATCGCCCATTTCTTATCAAATGTTTCTCTCTAAAGAAAACACTAACATGTCTTCTCTCTAAAGGATTCTCTGAAACTGCAGATAAAAACAATCCTTTCTCTTGCAACAACCAGCACAAAAGTGAATGTCCCAAATGTTGCCATGGATAAAAATCACCTATTTCTGCAGTCCCACTTTCTGCACCTTCACTTTCAAGCACAAATGTAACAAGGAGCAATGTATGGCGCAAACTCCGACGGTGACGAAGATGGTATGTTTTCAAGATCTCTCTGTTGATACTTAGAAGTTATGATTTATGAGTTTTGAGTTTTAAGGTTTTGCTGATATGTGTGGTTGTATTGTGATGATGCTCATGTTTAAACTTTGTTGTGTTTCGTTGTAGATATGGTGTTGGATGGTTAAGAGGATGATAACAAGCATATAGTAGAATTTGATGGTAGGCAAGAGATGTTGATGGAATTCTGCTGAAGAACATATGATTTGTGTTGCAATGGAAAATATACAAGAAGTATGAAGTTATTGTGGAAACTTCATCCACCTTATATTTCTTCTTCGTTGCATCACAAACTAGATAAACTTTATAATTTGTTACAGCTCCACGATTATTTTCAATAAAAGGTACGTTCTTGAAATAATTTAATATAACTTGTGATTTTGTATGCTTTTGTGTTTTTATTTTGTTGCATGTATTTGTTTTGTTGTTGTATGTTGTTGTTGACAAATATTCTCAAAACAAGAACATAATATTGCTAAGTCACAAGAAAAAGGCTTCTTGTGACTTTGCAATATTTTGTACTTTAAATTCTTATAGAGGCTGATAGTAGATGAAGTTTAGTTTATTATGTGCAATGTAGATTGTTTATTTAACTAACCTTTTAATGAAAATATATTCATTTAAATTGACATGGAAACTATGAAAATTAAGTTGTATTTGAAAACCAAATTATATTAATCGATATTTTCCGAATTATATTTCTTGCTCTTTAACATATAGAATATAGTTCAATGACATGTTTCCTTCAATACATCAATGTCTTCTATTATGGTTTAATTTGAATAAAATCTAGTTATTGGCTAAGATGAGATAGACTTAGCCAATAATTGCATTTTATTAAAAACAAAATATAATAGAAGATATCGATGTTTTGAAGGAAACAAACTATTGAACAAATTTTATATGATAAAGAGCAAGAAATGGATGATTACAGAAATGAAATTTGGAAAATAGTGGTTTGTTTTAGTTGGTTTTCAAGAATAGTTTAATTTTCAAATTATATACTTCTTCATTAATTTGAATGGTTGTATTTCTATAATAAGGTGTATAGAAAAACAAACAATCTACATATTATATAATAAACTATGATACATTCCACAATGGTTCCTTAATGTAACCATGATAAATAGTAATTTATATTTAGTTCTATCACAACGGTTGGTTTACTTAACCAGTGCGATAACGTGCATGCTTTCCATATTACTATAATGGTCTTTGGACCATGATTGTCAGTATCACATTTACAACAATACTCTACATAACAACACCTGGACTCGTGTCATTATATATCTTTCCCAACCGTTGTTAAATGCCTTATTCGTAGTAGTGCTTACTTGAGAAAGACACAATGGACAAAATATTATTAATAATATGAAGATCCTCATTATACTTACTATAACGTCTCTCTCTCTTGGAACCCTCTTCTTCAACAAAGACACTTGTGAAAGCAAGCTTCCAACGCCTCTTTTATTCCTCAATATTAGGGGTTGAAGATTCAAAATAAGTAATAAGAAATAATACAACAAGAACAACAACAAACAACTGAATATTGCGAGAACTGTTTCTCTCTTTAAGATTCAGTATGTAGTTGTTCTATTGCACATTGACTTGAGAGTTTATTACACTTTTATATCTTAGAAATCTTAAGTAACAAGGTCTTTGCTTGTGCTATATTATTTGTACCTCTGATTAAATATCTGGTACATCTTCTTGTAATCCTAAACAATTTGCTTAGAATTTGTAAGAGTCTCAAACTAAGTGTTTGAGAAAAGTAGTCTCAGGCTGGGTGTTTGAGCAAGAAAGTTTTTTTCAATTGTGATTGAGAAAGAAAGTCTTGAACTCTAGATTTAGGAAAGGAAGTCTCTTTCTGGTTAAATTGAGCAAGAAAGTCCTAAACTGTAGGTTTAGGCAATGAAGTCTCTTTCTAGTTAGATTTAAAGAAGTATTGAACGAGTGTGTTTAGGCAAGCAGTCTCTTTCTTGTGAGATTGAGAAGGAAGTCTTGGAATGGTGTGTCTAAGAAAGTTATAATCAGGTTTTTATTATACTGAAAAGCTCTTATGTGGCAAGGGGACTGGACTACTCTCTTTATAGAAAAACCGTGATAGTCTCTGTGTTTGATTTACTTATTTCTTATGCACTTTAAACAATTTTGTTGTTGCATACTCTAGCTTAGAAACTGAACTTGGTCAGATTCAGAAGTTGTTGTTTTGAAAAAGCATAAGTATCAGATCCACAATTCAACCCCTCTTCTTGTGAATTTTTCTCACAGTCAATCATATCCTAAATTAACTCCCCATCTTGACACCATCCTATCTCACCAACCTTCTTCTTAAGTTGCAAGGAAATCGAGAAAGTGTTGAAGCTAAAGTCTTTACTTGACTTTCATTTAACAACCATTGTGTTGAATTTAAAGATATGACTTGATCTTCAAGAGCATCTTGAAAAGTATGTCTTTAAACACTTTGACTAAACCTTGAATCTTATTTTGATGAGACTTGAGATAAGTCTTCATAATAAACTTCATCATTAAGAAAACTACTATATTAGAGATCTTTGTTGACTTCCTTGAACGCCTCTTGGCATAAGAGGTTGTCTTCACAGATAGGCACATATAAGTTAATCTCCAAGCATAGTTACTTGATATAAAAACTTGTCAATCCCCACCACTTGATAAGAAATGTGTCAAGCACCATAACTTGAGAAAACACATCAAGCGCCATCACTTGAAAAATCACATCCTTGAACAATAAGATTGATGAAGACTCCTCTTAAGAGTATTGTTAACATCAAAATCAACTTAACATGTTGTTGCAATCTTGCACATAAATCCAAAACC